TTGTTGTTGCAATGGCCACAAAAGTCTTCTTCATAAAATCTTTCCCCAGACTAATATGTAAAAGACTGAAACTGGACCCACACCTTTCACCACTTATAAAAATTGATTCAAGATGCATAAAAGATTTAAATCTAAGGCATGAAACAATAAAAATCCTTGAAGAAAGTGTGCTTTATTCTTTATAATCTATCAGAAGAGCATCAGGATTCTTCTCTCAGTTAAGAGAATCCACCTAATGAGATTTTCAGCAATTAAAGAGTTCGGTGGCTCTCAGGGATGTCCTGTCTCTTAGGACCACCCATGGCTGAGACTTGTGCCTAATTATGGCTGAAGCAAAGCTCACTCTGGTGAGGCTGCAGCCATGATTGCTGAAGAGGTTACTCCTGAAAATTTTAAAGGAAAACCAGACCCCTTCTCCATACCCCTAGGTGTATGTGACAACTAGCAAATCAGATACATACACAGAAGTCATCCATTCAACAAATCGAATTGTGACCATTGTTTATCGAGGCCTTCTTTGCATCCCTTATTTCTACTTATCCTCCAGACCCCCTGAGAGAAGGAGGCTGTTGTCACACCCTCTTGGCAGAGGAGGCAGTGAGGCCTTGAGAACTTTGCATAAAGCGGCAGACCTAGCAGGCAGCAGAGCTGGACCCTGAGACCACAGCTCTGCTTCCACCCTGCCAGCCATGCTGACCTTCAATGTCTATTGGGTCCCTCCTTTTTGGGCAGGACACACCACTCAGCCAGGAGGAGCACGACGGTGGTTGTGACATGGTCTACCCACTGGGTATAAATGTTAAAGTGAAGGATAGGGCAGGGCATTTTGTGTTCTTAACCCAAAAAAGAACCAGGTGTGGTGGCTCATGCCTGTAATCCTAGCACTCTGGGAGGCCGAGGCAGGTAGATTGCCTGAGCTTCTGGTGTTCAAGACCAGACTAAGCAAGAGTGAGACCCTGTCTCTACTAAAAACAGAAAAAACAGCTGGGTGTGGTGCAGCTGCCAGAGAGGCTGAGGCAGGAGGACTGCTTGAGCCCAGTAATTTCAGGCTGCTGTGATCACACCACTGCACTCCAGCCTGGGTGACAGGGTGAAACCCCGTCTCTTAAAAAAAAAAAGAAAAGATAAACGTAAGTGCCCAGTGTATCAAGGGCATGGCTGGGGTGACACAAGGGAGTGAGTAGGCGGCATGAGTAAACTGTAAACTGTATAACCTTTAAACTAGCATTTCACATCTAGAAATTTATGTTTTTCAGGTAGGTATACTAAAGAAATTGTTAAAAAGTCAACATTACAAAAATATTCAAAACCTGGCTTGCCTCCAAATGTCAGTGAAAGAAGTCTTTTAGTGTACACCACCTATATTTTCATTAGAAATGTACTTATTTGTCTGATGAAGTATTTAAATGAAGTTTAATTTAAATTCATCAGTTTAAGTTTAATTTAAATTCAACTCTTGACTGTGCTCCTGTCCTATGCAGGCAGTGTGGGGGTGATACACAGCGGGGCCCTGTTCCACCTGGCCCAGGGCTCCTGTCCTAATGCTCTAGGCCAGGGGTCCTCAAACTTTTTAAACAGGGGGCCAGTTCACTGTCCCTCAGACTGTTGGAGGCCGGACTGCGGGCCCCGGGATGAGTCGGCTGCTAAGCAGGACAGGCAACGGCGGCAAAGACACCCGGTGGGATAAATGTCCTAGGCAGGCTACATATGGCCTGCAGGCCATAGTTTGAGGACGCCTGAGCTAGGCTCTGAGTCAGTGAACTTAGTTTGTTTTGCTTGTAAAATATCCCAATGACTCAAGCACAAAAGAGTCACAAAAATTGGTTCTGCTAAGCAAGGTTCACTGTGCCTTAGTTTTCCCACATGTCATCCACACGGGAGTGTCATGGGCTCAGAAGTCCTGACTCAAATTATGCCCTTTGTAAGGATTTAAGTAAAATATAAGATTAGAACAAATAAGAATAAGTGATGCTGTCACAAAGGCAAATATTTGACTGCTACTCTGTGACTTTAAGGTCGTCCCCAGTAAAACCAAATTTGTGGGAAATTTTTTTTAAAAAGAATGGCATTTTCCAATGAATTAAGAATGGTAAATGCCAGTAACTGTAAATTTCCTAGCACCTCTCCAAGGTAGCTAAATTACTATCAGCTTTTAGAGCATAATAAAAAGGCTCATTTTGAATTGTGTCCAGTGAGTATGCTAATATACCTAGCACTCTTAAAACTATAAATGACTCATGAATTGGGTGGCAAGATCAAGTCTGGTTTCATGGGGCTCTATTTCCCATCTTGAAATTTTCTAATTTTCTGAGAAATAGCTTCCTGCCTGCCTTACCCTCCTGAGTAGGTGGTACTACAGGCGGGTACCACCAGGCCTGGTTAAGTTTTCTAGGTTTGTAGAGATGGGGTCTCACTCTGTTGCCCAGGTTGGTCTCAAACTCTTGGCCTCCCGTCATCTTCCTCCCTTGACCTCCCCAAGTGCTGGAATTACAGGTGTGTGCCACCACATCTGGCCTATCTTTGTTAATTTTAAAGGTAAAACCATGATATCTCACTGTTTGAGCCTTGTTTCTTTAATTAGGAGGGGGCTGACAGGGCTGGGTGTTTTTAACATGGTCATCACCCAGGTGATTTTCTTCCATAAATTGCATATTCATTTCTAACCTTTGAGGGCTTTTTTGTTTTTAAATCTGTAGGGGTTCTATGTTTATTAGAAAAATTAACCCTTTGTCACATGCCACTCATCATATTTACCAGGCATCCACTGTGTTCTGTCTCCTCTCCCCAGTGTCACCTGTGCAAAGCCAAACTCTTCTTCCCCCCAGAACCTGCTCCTCCTCAGCCCTCCCCACCCCAGTCAGTGGCAACTCTATCCTTTTCATTGCTCAGATCAAAAAATTTGACGTTATTCTTGAGTTCTCTCTTTCCAATCCGCTAGGAAGTTCCATCTTCCTACAAGATGGTATCTCTGACCCCACCACTCTCACACCCTCCTCACTTCCTGCCCCTCAGAGCCACTCTCATCTCATGCCTGGATCACTGCAGAGTTCCCATTCTGCACCTGCCCTCGTACCCTCCACCCTCTTTCTCAACATACTAATCAGAGTCATCCTACTAAACCATCAAGTGTGGGTGATGCCT